AGGGATCCGTGCGGATTCTTTTTCGATAGGTTTACCACTTTCGCAGGCTCGATCGACTTTGCAACGATCCCGCGGCAAATTGCGAATCGTCGTAGACGCTGCGCTTCACTCGCAGGAAAAACGATCGAGTCGCGCGACGAATCAGGATCGAGATCGATCGATTGTTGCCAGACGATTCGCCTAGCTTTCGCTTTTCTTCTTACAGAGCGATCATCGCTGATCATCGCTGATCATCGCTGATCATCGCTGCGATCTTTCCTCCTTTCTTCTTTGTATCGATCTTCGGCCTGCCAGCCGAATCCGTCGATCGACGGATCAAAGATCAATCGATCGAAGATCAATGCGCCGTTGTCGCGTTCGCTTGCGATTGGAAGCGTTCCTGGCGCGCGGCTGGCAGGCCCGATCGCTTCGAGATCCTTGTGTCCTCGATCTCTTCTTCTTCTAATAATAATAATTATTATTTATTTATTTATTTGCACGTACGTGTAGAAAAATTGTCACAGAAGAATCGATGAAAAGAACGAGCTTTCGCATAGCAATCGCGCGATTACGAATAAAGAGAACAAGATCTTTCGTCTTGTGTCTTCGATATCTCGTTTATTTTCTTTTTTTCGGTGAGATCTCTGGATCCATAGATCGGAGGACGCAAGGACACTCGCGTTTCTTTCACTCGCGTCTCGCGTTTCTCATCTGTTTGCGCTCTAGCGAGCCGATATAGAACGCGTTTATAGATTAGCTTACGAGCGATCGCCGCGCATCGGCGAGCAAGAAGCTGTTGTCTCCATGTTTTCTATTGATTGTTCTTAGAACCCTTTCAGTTGATGTCTCTCGGTTAAACTCGCCCTCCGTCGCGACACGGTCGTTCACTGTGCACCAGACACTCGTTACGAAGATATGTTCCCTAGCACGCTGCTCGTGCCTTGGAAATGTTAGCCAAAGTTTCTCCTTGTACGTCTCTCACTCTCTCTCTCTCACACATACATATACTATCACGCTCTCTCTCACTGTCTCACTCTCTCACTCTCTGTTTCTTTCTGTTTTCCGTTCCCATTTACGCATCGACTGCGCTGTCTAGCCACACGGGAACGAAGCCAGTATTCCCTCTCAGTCCCTTAGGTCTGTACACCAGTGCGCACCGAGCCACACACACACACACAGACACGAGCACTCTCTCTATATCTCTCACCAATTTCACCGGCACCAACCACGTCGATCTGCCGTCACATACCGGTGTTATGGATTTATGAACACCACCCTTCATCTTTTCTTCCTTTTTTTTCTTGCTCTGTCACCCTCTCTCACTCTCTCTCTCTCTCTTTCTCTCTCTCATTCTCTCTGTATCTCTTTCTCTCTCGTTGTTTGGAAGCTTCTGCTAGAAACCCTCGAACACTCCGCTTCGCATCGCGCGGCTCCCTCGTCGAGCTGACGTGTCCCGCTTGCAGCTAGAGCCCGAAACCGCATGCCGCCTGCATCGGTCCCCGCTCGCTTCTGCATGCCGGTGCATCGACGATTCCCTCGAATTCCGAGTCGAGCGTTCAACATCGCGGAAATACTCGGGACGCGGTTTCCCGGACTGCCGGACTTTCCCGCTGTCGGTTCTTCCGTTTTCCACGATTGCGAGAAAATCCATGTTCCGTCTGCGAACCATCGAATTAGCCGCGTTTTTTAGAGGCTTTCAGACCTGTCGAAGGACCTTCGCAGACCCGCGGCAACGATTTCCAAAGCTCGGTGGACGTTTCTGAAAGCTTTCGAAGCTTGAGAGACGCGAAGCAAGATATTCCGAATTTAGTAGATCTCCGTGAACGTCTACGGAGCTTGGAGAACCTTAGAATCATCTCCGATGCTAAACGAACGCGAAGGGATCTAGATCTTGGCAAGACTCTTCGAGAGGATCTTTAAGAGGATCGATCTGCTTCGTGGATCAATCGGAGAACCGACAGCGCGAGAAATCCCGGATGAAACCGAACAGGACGCGTTCCTTGACGTAACCCGAGCACCAATCCCCAGTCCTGCATCCTCTGTTTGTCCGGGAAACTTGGACGCAGCCTCGAAGACGCTGGCAGAACGCCCGATCGAACGTCCGCCGTTGAAACTGCACCCTCCAGCACTCGGTGCCTTGGCCTGTTACCCCGATCGTTCCCCCTTTCGCCCCCCCTTTCGTTCCTTCTTTCGTTCCTTCTTTCGTCCCTTTCTTTCTGTTCTCTTTGGTTCTTTTTTTCTTTTTTAATTGGAACCGGCTGATATCAGGGTGATTATCGCAGCCTCGGCTCTCTCTCTCTTTCGCTCTTTTTCTATCTCTCTCTGTTTCTTTCTCTTTCTTTCTTCCTTTCGGAGCGATCGATACGGCCCACCGGCAGCAATAATATCGTCTCTTTGTTGCGCAAAACAAGCCGGAATAATTGCTCGGCTGGAATCCTTTATCCGGGACAACGGAGCGAGAAACGAAACGGTTGCGCGTCGGTGGCCGAGATAAAGGAAAACGGGAGCAGAGCGGACGCGGCCGATATATCATTAATTTTTCGAAGAGTTTTCTCTTCTTTGTTTTAATGAAGCAGCCGATGGGAGCAGCCGGCGGACCGTGTAACGCGCGAAAATCATCTTCGCGGAAGCGATTTTCCGCGGCCAGGCGTATCGATCGTCCGGAAACCGGAAGCCGAGGCGTCGCTCTCTCGTCCTACCGAGAGGAGTCTTCTATTGTTTAACTTGTTCGCCTTCTTCTTCTTCTTCTTCCTCTCTCTCTATCTTTCTTTCTCTCTCTTATTTCCCGCGCCCCGAACGATCAATGTCCACTCTCCCGTTGCCCTTCCCTCCCGCTCTTCACCCCGCGTTTCTCTTATTTTCCTTTATTACTTCTTCCTCCGCGAAGGGGAAGAAAATCGACGGACCACTTTGGAACTTTAATTTTAGATACGTCGGGAGACTAGGCTACAAAGAAAGCCGCGCTTGCCCCCCCCCTATCTGTCTGTCTCTCTATCTATCCATCTATCTACTTGTCCGTCTGTACATATATGTACAGGCTGGTGGTCGTTAATCGGCGGAAGACGGGACACTCCGCGCGCGAAAATAATTCGAGTGGAGGAACAACTAGTTTCTGCGTTTGAATTCACTTTGCGTTCTCGAGGAGAATTGAGCGCTGTCGGACAGGGTTAAAAGCGACGCGTCCGACCATGGCTTACCGATTCTACTTCGCGGCGTTACTGTACGAGCGAACTTGACGCGTCCGACCATGGCTTACCGATTCTACTTCGCAGCGTTTCTGTACGAGCGAACTTGACGCGTCCGACCATGGCTTACCGATTCTACTTCGCGGCGTTTCTGTACGAGCCGCGCGAATTTGATGCGTCCGACCATGGCTTACCGATTCTACTTCGCGGCGTTACTGTACGAGTCGCGCCACCTTGACGCGTCCGACCATGGCTTACCGATTCTACTTCGCGGCGTTACTGTACGAGCCGCGCCACCATGACGCGTCCGACCATGGCTAACCGATTCTACTTCGCGACGTTACTGTACGAGCCGCGCCACCTTGACGCATCCGATCATGGCTTGCCGATCCTACTTCGCGGCGTTACGCCGCGCGAACTTGTCGCATCCTTCGACACGTTTCTCTCGAGAACGCAAGCGAGAACGAAAAAGTTGCAAGTCCTTCTTCGACTTGTTTAAGCGCGCGAAATGTCTCTTGCTCCGAATGTACCAGCAGTTACCGACCACCCTGCATAAACGTGTATATCTATATCTATATATATACATTCTGCCGTTTACGTTAGAGATTAACGAAACACGTTGCGGTTAACGTTGACGCAGCCAGAGTGTCGTCTCTGTGGATTAGCTGGAACTCCGTTGGCGATTTCGAGAACGAGAGGATTGAATTGACCGGGATTCAACTTAATACATTAGTCGGTGTGTTCCCGTGCTTTCGGTGTCCGCTTCGGTGTTAACCGAATACTATTGCCGCTGCGAATTTATCTTGGTTCGCGCAGTCACCACTCTCTCTCTCTCTCTCTCTCTCTCTCTCTCTCTCTCTCTCTCTCTCTTTCTGTCTTTCTCTGTCTTTCTTCTATCTCTCTTCTCTCTGTATTTCTCACGCTCCGTCTTTGTCGATTTTGTGATTGTCCCATCGCCGGTGGCTGCTTTCTCGAAGAAAGTCGCGACGCCTATGTGTGGGCGGAGTCCAGCTACTTTACATTGAAATGAAACGCGCGATCTACGAACGCGTCGCGCGGCACGTTCGCGAGATAGCTTTTAACGTTTCTATCGCGGATCGATGGAAACGAAACGTGCGCGCACATTGCTGCTGCTCGTTGTTTAAAAATCCCGCGTTGCAAACGATCGCGTTATCGGCAGACCGGTGGATCTTTGCGCGAAATAAATCTCAATAAATTGTCGCGACAGACGAGTCTAATCAAAATTTCTTTCCTTCTAGAATAATTTCGGCAAGTTGAAAATGATTGTCTTCGAATGGTTTCAGTAATTCCAAATTTCTAGCAATCGAGAAATAAGAGCTGCAAAATTGACCCTTTGCACTCGAAGCTATTTCAACCGTAAAGCTAACATAATTTTTCCGACTTATAGTATTTCCATTTTATGCATATGAAATTGAGTCTTGCGATGACTTCTACAACAGTTACACTTTTAACAATTTCTCAAGTGTAAACTTTGTTAATTTAAAAATTATCTCGGAATATGCTGTAACAATTTTAGCGATGCCTCAGAGTCGCCACTCGAGTGCAAAGGGTTAATACATCTTTATCGACGGTAGCATATAATAATTACCATTGTAGTATATACATAATTAGTGTAACAATGCAAACGAGCGTCCCGCAGGTGGTTTTCGGAAATAGAAGTCCTGTAAAATATTCACCAGCATCCGGAATGTCGCAAGAGCCTTGCAGCAATCTGCACGCACGCTCGGCGAAGCCAATCGAATCTAACCTAAAAATAAGAAACCGAACACTGTCGCATATCCGTATACGTGATGTGTATGTGTGTATGTTGTACAGAGGATAAGAAGGGCGGCGTCGACCGGAGCAGCACGGTCATTGCCAAAGAACCCGAAGGTAAACTAGCACATATCGGGGGCGGAGGAACGCGTTGCACACCGCGCGCGCGTTTCGACGCCTCCTCTTCCATGTGTGATATATACATATGTAAAACCACCATATACTATATACATATATATATCTATATATCTGTATCCCCCCGTCTATACGTGTACACTTTACGCGTACCTCTACATGTGTGTTTACGTGTAAACGTCCTCCGATCGGGCTTCTCCCATTCGGCGACGCGCGACCGGAAGTCCTCCGGCTCGATTTTCGCTCTCGATTACACCATCGAGGCGAGATCACGAAGCGTCTTTCACGCGGCCACGGAATCGCAGAAGCGAGTTTTCCAAGCGGGGACGGGTTCGATCGATGGGAAATCGCGCGCACACGAATGGGAGAAGTCGGCTCCGCGAGGGGCTCAGTGACGAGCTTTTTCGAGCCGAGCTTTTGCACCCTGTCTGTTTCAGCTTCCGCTAACTCGTACCTAGGATTTACCGTCTCTCTCCAGCCTCCTCTCGATCCGCGCTAACCAATCGGTCCGCGATCAACGGGATCCGATCCAGAATCCCCAAGGATCGATCAGCCTCGCGCGAATCCCTGCCGAAACAACTACCCCCGTGCATCGATGTTTTAACGCTGTAACCTATGCCGAGGCTGTGCGAACCACCAGAAATTGCAAAGTTGCTGCTCGTGAAAACGCGTCGGAAATCCCGCGTAGAACTGCGGTGCCGGTTACTGTGCGCTCATTCTTTTAGCTTGGTTATTTTTTAACGAGGACGTTCGATGTCTCTTATTCGATAAATAATTATATAAAGAGAATTATTATTATTATTTATTTATTTTCTGGCTACTGGACGCTTTGAAATTATGCTGATGGCATGTGCATAATCCGGAACAATGTGAACGTTAAAAAAAAACCAGATTTAGTAGAATTTAGTAGAATTAGTTCTTGTGTTCTATGAATATAAAATCTTGTTAGCTCTTGCTCCACGAATATAAAATGTGAATTATGCCCTAAAGCAAAGGAGGCACAGTAACCGGTCCTACCAGCCTATATTCCCCCTAATAACACCCCAACGAGTTCGAATGGCTCGGTAAATTCGGTATTAATAAGAATCTTCGGGGAAAGCGAAGGAGCTCGCGCGATATTTCGCGAAGAAGATATCGCGACGAGCCTACCCGCGTTTCGAGAAGAGACGAATTAAGGGTAGGGGCGATCAGGTGAGCAGTTGGCATAACGAGTATTCCCGTTCGAGCGTAGCGATGGCGGCGCGCGTGGACGCTGGCTGTCAACGGAAATACCTGGCCGTTTGGCACCGCTTGGAAATAGATTGGCAGCAGTTCGCGACGAGCGGCCCGCTCGACAAACGGTCGCTTGATCTTCGATTTTTCCTTCCCGTTTTTTCTTCCCCTCTGACTTTCCGTCTTTCCGTTGCCCGGGAAGGCGGAGGGGTCGCGGAAGTTCTTTCTTCTCCCGCCCGACTTCCTTTTTGTCACCTTTCGTCACCCGGCGGCGCGGCGAAGGGCGCGAGCGGGCACTCGCGGTAGTGATAAACGCGATCCAGAGAAGATCTAGTGGTCATAGTTCTCGAAATGTCGGCCGCTGCCAGTCTGCCCGGCTCCTCGAAGCAGCCTGATCATCACGGTGAGCCTCCGTGCGACGGGAACTCGAATTTGCCTCGAGTCGGCGATCAAACGGTGATCGAGGAGTGAAAATGTTGCTAGATCGTGTGGATTTCGAGCCGGTCGCGAGTGCTGTCCGCCTCCGGGAGCTTCCGCTCCAAGGAGCAACTCTGTTCGAAGCAAGAGACATTCTAGACCTTCTCGATTCTGTACGTAGACTGCCCCGCGTGGGCGTAGCCTCGGCGCTCCCACGTTTCGCGGAGCTTCGGCATCCCGTTTGCGTCAAGGGAGAGCGGTGCGATTCAAAGAAAAAGGCTCTCCGCTTTTCTAATTCGTCGAAAAGGTCGTCCGGCTTAGTCTTCTGTGCGTAAATTACGTCAACAGAGACGATTTCGATTCGGACGAAGGGGGATCTCGACCTTTTTCATTCGAACAGTTGTTCTTTGTTCGTAGGTTGATCCGCGTGGGCGTGGCTTTGCTGCGCCCACGTTTTTCGGAACCGCGACATCCTCTGTCCCTCGGATAAGGGGAAATCGAAGCTTAGGAATAAGATTCTCGGTTCGATAAGAAGCTAGCTTCGAAGGTGTTTGCTTTCTGTCTCCGAATAGCCTTGCGTAGGCGTAGCCTTGCTGCTCTGGCAGCAGAAAAGCGAGACCCTCTAGGGCCACCTAGTTCTCCGTTGCACAAGAAGACAATTTTGTCAAACTGTTCATACTTAATTAAAGTTTTAGAACGAAGAAGCCGCACCGACGGTGTTCCATAACACTGCGAATCGCTTTATATTTGCTTTCCAAACGATATAAAATCATACGAACTTGTCTCCAGGTGACGTAAATATTTTATATAAAAATGTCGAAGCATTTTCTTCCATTTCGCTTCAGTTATTATCGATGTACAGATGTCCGTATCTGTCTCGAGTGTCCGACTTCCGCGACTCGCTTCCACTCGCGCTTGACCGCGAGTGGGCGTGGCCTCGCCGCTCCGGAGCCGGAACAGCTGGTTCCAGGGCCACCGGCGATCCCGTCGGAGAACCGAGAACGGGAACATTGTTTGGTTTGCCGACCACGAGTGCAGCTCCCGCCTGTTTAAACACGGCCGTGAGCGAGCGCGCGCGACCATGAATCGCTCGACAATTTATGTCTGTAGCCGAGCTCTCACGGCCTCTGTCGTGTGAATGGAGAGCCGGCCGGCTGAACGTGCTAACGTTACGAATTCATTAGTTCATCCGATTATAGTCCTCTCGCGTGTGCTTACTGGCGTAACGCGCTTACCTTGGCGCGGACGAAAATGAACGGTGAGTCGGTCGTTCGTCGTTTCTCTCGGCCAGAAATATCTTCCTCGATGTAATCTCGGCTCGCTGTCGGCTAAATTCCCGAAAGATTGCTCTAAGAAAAGACGCTTCTCGCTCCTCCTCGATCTCGTCGGTTCGCCGGATCGCCGGGCGCGATTCGTTCGAGACGGCTAGCAAGTTCGACGAGAAATCGTGTTGGAAGTCACGATCTTCGATCGGAAGAAAACGTCGCCGTCGGTCGGGTGTCAGGATCGCGGGCCAGCGAATTGCGATCTATTTCCGGAGCTTAATCGTGTCTATGTCGGCGGCGGCGGCGGCCGCTGTGAAAACCTATCGCGGGTAACTATTCTCGTTCGACGTAGGAGAGAGGTCGGCCAAACGCGAGCGTTTCCGCTTCGGTTCTCGATTCTCGACGACGTCATCGCGAGCTCTCGAGGCGGACCCGCGCGTCAAGTTTCCTCGTTTGCTCTCGGCTCGTGCCGCGCACGCCGACAGATCGGCCCGAACGGGGCCAGCTTTAACGCGCGTGTGCAAAGTGTGATCGGTTCGTTCGATCAATCGAGACACGGTTTCGTTCTACGAACCGAGCGTGACTCGAGTCGATGCACCCGGGTCCGGTGCTGGTAAACGATCCTCGTGGCAGGAGGACGAACAACGAGCGTCCGTGATCGTCGAGGTCGACTCGGGATGCCTTTCGCCGATCGACAACCCGAGGTTCTGGATCGAGGTACGGTAGCGCACACTCCACGCTTTAAACCAGCTTTAAACGTGTGTGGCCGACGTGTGTGTGTGTGTTGCTTTATTCATCGGATTTATTCTGAAGCGAATTTATTCCGAACTTTTCGATTACACCGTATACTTGAACCGAGAAGTTTATCCAATCGTTTTCTGCGAGACAGTTCTAATTAATCTAAAATGAAAAATCGCGAGACATTCGTCTAATTGTGCTTGAGTGTGCACTACCGAACCCTCGCGAAGCCTTTCGCGGGCCACTTGCGACCCGGTCTTCCAAAATGCAATCCCGAGCGTCGATCTTTCCGAGAGTCGCACGAGTCGAGGCACATTCCCCTTTGAAGCTTCAGGATTGCTCTTAACCCACCCCGATTGTCTAACGATCAAGATAGCAGACTCCGGTTGGACTCGCATCCTCCGATCGGCTAGCGATTGTATCATCTCCGATCTAAAACCGCCCCTTCCTTCGTAACAGTTTCAAGACCCGAAACCCGCATCGTAACCGTTTTCAATGAGAAGGAACTAACACGGCATAGACCCGATCAGGACACGGTCTAGGTGATCATCGTCTCTCTCCAGTGTTAACAAGCTCTGATTTAAAGCCCGAACTAACCACGTTCTCGTTGCTAATCCCTCTCGGTGTCTAAATTTAACCAATGGCATTGTTAATCTCGAGATGGGCCCAACTTACGACTCGGTCTAGTTTCGTCAGCGAGAGTGTTCTGTGGACTCTGTTGCGTTTGGAGAGAGCCCCCCCATTCGCTGACTCTTCTAATCGGTGACTATTCGAAATCTTCGGGAAAGGCCCCGCCTCGCAGGGCACACCCCCGAACAGCCCCGGCGGCGTGTCCGCGTTCGCCAGAGTGGTCGGCGCGGCGAGCCAAACCAACAACCCGAACAAGCAACCCCAAAACCAGGTTCAGGGAAGCCCCCTTGGATTAGCCGCGGTCCTCCTACAGGGAGCGCAAGGTAATTCGGCCCTGCCGATCAGGATCAGCCTCGGGGAGGGAGACCCGCGCTCGAAACTCGCGCAGCGAGTCCTCTCTCCGCCGAGAGACGGTCGGTTCCTCCTTCAGCTCCGCCCACCGGCCACGCCGCGAGCCTTCGGCTCCGCCTGCCGGCCACGCCCGAGCCTTCCGATTCGACGGGGCCGCTGGCGGGAGAGACCGTGGGCGGGCTCGAGGGCGGCGCCGAACGCGACGCCGAAGGATGAACCGGTCGTCTCCGCACGGGAGACCTACTCTTGTCACTTCCGCCTACGCCAGCGTCGCCAACAATGTTCGCAAGTTCTCTTGTCCCCACCAATGCGTTGACGAAGGACGCGATAGGGCCTCTAGGAAAAGGCGAGTCGCGATAACGCCTAGCGCAGGCTGTAGGGAAACGAAGGGACGATCTACGAAGTCTGTCCTCTCGGCGAGAGTGTTCTCGCGAAATCCGCTCGCGAAGGGCGACGAAGGAAGCTCCGATAAACGAACGCGCGACGATTGAGAATCGACGACGACGACGACGATTACGATTACGATTACGATTACGATTACGACGACGACGACGACGATTAACGTCCAGCGATATCGCGTGGACCGGTTTTGTATTTTTCGCATTTGTGAAACGTCCAGTTTCACGAGACCGCGGGCCTAGAAGACTAATGCAGCGTGCGAGTTGCGTTAGATAGACGATGATCGACTATCGTTTCGCTCTCGAACCGTAGAAACGAGGCCGAAGAGCGAGTCGGTGGCCGGAAACCGGTGAGTCTGACTGTTTACTTAGAGTCGAAGCATGACTTGGATTTACTTTTGTTTCCTCCTCTGTACGAAAACTCTACACCCCGTTCACGACCGAGACACTCGCTTCTCGAACGATCTCTGTCTCACGCTTCTCGATATACTATGCCGAATTCACCCTGTCTTGCTTTTTGGACACCCTGTCGTCACTCTCCGAATCACCCTCACGCCATTATTTCGATCGCTATCACCCGTCGACTGTGTCCGCTGCCAATTTTCATTCTTGCACATGGACGACACTTTCTCTCTTTCTCTGTCTTTCTTTCTTTCACCGAAAAATTTACGCGCTTCCTAGTACTGTCTGTGATCTGGATTAATATCGATCTATAGCTCTGTCACACGCTCTATCTTATCTTGGACGGCCTTTTTGTCTCTCTCTATCTCTATCTCTATCTCTGTTTCTCTCTTTCTCCCTCTCTTTCTCTATCTATCTCTATCTATCTCTGTCGAGCGGCCAGGGAACGCCTCTGCATTTTACCGATTCGCTTTAAATGCTCTTTCTATTTTGATTCTCTCTCTCTCTCTCTCTCTCTCTTTCTTTTCGAGCTTCCGAACCGCCGCACTCTCGATCGAACAGCATCTCCGCGGAGCTTCTCGACGATTTATTAACACTTTCGCGACGGGAGAAAACTCGATAGAAATTTTGGAACTTTAAACGTGCTACAAATACTCGTGGAACACGTATTTCCTTAACACCGAGTACACGGAATTCTTGAAAGTATCAAAAATGTACCGCTACAATTTATTCGACGGACTTCCCGTCAATTTATTCAATAAGTCAACTACCCGTCAGTTTTTTACATCTTCAACATCTTTAAAATTGAAATATTTCCCGTTTTCCGTCACGAGATCGTTAATCTCGATCTCGGCGATCATCGAGAGCTACGCCAATGACGGCTCCTGCGGTAGAGGGCCGTCGATGCGCGCGAGGCGAGAGTGTTGCGGCTCGCAGGGGCTCGAGGGGAGTCACGCCGGTCGGGAATAGAAACCCAGAAGAGAGCACGGGGACGAAGCTGTTCTCGGTGGCTGACGGTAGCTCGTGTTTTGGTTTGCTTGGTTGCATGACTAGCTGGCATCGCAGGGAGCGGTAGCAGCAGCGGTAGCAGCAGCAACAGCCAGAACAGCCAGACAGGCGCCTCGCCGTCATCCCCCGCAGCTGTCTTCATCGGAAACAACCACGCGACGACGCCCACGGCATCGTCGCGACGCTACGACTCCGCGAGCAACGGTCTGTAATCTACGCCTCTCTCCGAATCTCTCTCTGCTGTCATGGAGGAATCGGGAATTTTCTCTTCGCGAATCCAACCTCTTGAGCCACCCACGAAATTCGAGGGTGCGGGCCCTAAAATCGTCTGTCGTTTTTTTTCGGTGACGCTAATTTTTAATCTTGAAATTCATTTTCATTCGGAATTACGAATAACCAGCTGAATTTTACTAGGATTTTTGGAACACTAAAGAGTTCGGCTAATACGGTAATATCTCCCTAACTGACGCTAAGAATTCTTCCCAGATATTCCACAAAAATGGACAATTTGGAAAGAGGAGACAGGATTATTCGAGCCCTGCGAGCTCGTTTTTATAGTTGTGGACAATTTATAACTATAAAAATAAACCGCAAGGCTCGAATAATCGTATCTCCTCTCCCTAAATTGTCCATCTTCGTGGACAAACTGAGCGTCAATTAGAGAGATATTACTGTATTCACTTCGATATTCTACTGTATTCTATTCGAAATTCTACGGAATTTTTCGGCAATTAATTTGTCGAGTGATCTCCTGCGTACCGTGATTCCCTGGAAAATATTTAAATTTGACGAATTTTCACGATTGATTCGATCACGACCGGCTAAGGAGTCGCCTAAGGGGTTGATCTTCTCAAATCGATTTCTGCTTCGACAAGATGCCGCGCATCGAGACCATTATGGTTCTCGAAACGTTCTCGAAGAATCCGATTTTTCTGACCGCCACAGTAGAGAGAATTCGTCGATCTCTATCGATCCCTGCCCACGCGAGATTCGGCTTGCGGACAGGGTGCACACGATTTCTGCGCATACTTTTTGAGTTCCTTGGAGCTTCGGTGTCAAGGCAATAATTATACCATTGCGGTCGCAAAGGATGTAGCTTCTTTAACGAAAAAAAGCGTCGTTCCTTGAACGAGCGGCGCGCGAAAGCTTCCAGTACAATTTCCAGAAGCGAGGAACGAATTTCGGTGTCGAAACTTTAGCGAATTACCGGAAATCGACGCCGCGTGTGCACCCGTCCGCCCGCGGCCATTTTGAAATCTCAGTGGCGCTCTGTTTGACCAGTCCTGTGTGTTTCTGCATGTTCCGGTTGTGCACGCATCGCTGGCATGACGCATCGATTACCGAACAATTGCATGCGACCGCAAACGAAACCGAATATCGAACCCGAACCGAACCGAACGAGACCCGTTCAGAACCGGAAGTTCGACGAGTCGGGACGGCTGGACACGTGCAGCATGGCCAGGCCGAGGGTGGTCACACGGAAGACGGTAAGAAGAAGAGCACCGCCGGCACCGGTAAGGTCGCAGGGAACGGGAAAATTAAGGGCACGAAGGACGNAGACAGGCGCCTCGCCGTCATCCCCCGCAGCTGTCTTCATCGGAAACAACCACGCGACGACGCCCACGGCATCGTCGCGACGCTACGACTCCGCGAGCAACGGTCTGTAATCTACGCCTCTCTCCGAATCTCTCTCTGCTGTCATGGAGGAATCGGGAATTTTCTCTTCGCGAATCCAACCTCTTGAGCCACCCACGAAATTCGAGGGTGCGGGCCCTAAAATCGTCTGTCGTTTTTTTTCGGTGACGCTAATTTTTAATCTTGAAATTCATTTTCATTCGGAATTACGAATAACCAGCTGAATTTTACTAGGATTTTTGGAACACTAAAGAGTTCGGCTAATACGGTAATATCTCCCTAACTGACGCTAAGAATTCTTCCCAGATATTCCACAAAAATGGACAATTTGGAAAGAGGAGACAGGATTATTCGAGCCCTGCGAGCTCGTTTTTATAGTTGTGGACAATTTATAACTATAAAAATAAACCGCAAGGCTCGAATAATCGTATCTCCTCTCCCTAAATTGTCCATCTTCGTGGACAAACTGAGCGTCAATTAGAGAGATATTACTGTATTCACTTCGATATTCTACTGTATTCTATTCGAAATTCTACGGAATTTTTCGGCAATTAATTTGTCGAGTGATCTCCTGCGTACCGTGATTCCCTGGAAAATATTTAAATTTGACGAATTTTCACGATTGATTCGATCACGACCGGCTAAGGAGTCGCCTAAGGGGTTGATCTTCTCAAATCGATTTCTGCTTCGACAAGATGCCGCGCATCGAGACCATTATGGTTCTCGAAACGTTCTCGAAGAATCCGATTTTTCTGACCGCCACAGTAGAGAGAATTCGTCGATCTCTATCGATCCCTGCCCACGCGAGATTCGGCTTGCGGACAGGGTGCACACGATTTCTGCGCATACTTTTTGAGTTCCTTGGAGCTTCGGTGTCAAGGCAATAATTATACCATTGCGGTCGCAAAGGATGTAGCTTCTTTAACGAAAAAAAGCGTCGTTCCTTGAACGAGCGGCGCGCGAAAGCTTCCAGTACAATTTCCAGAAGCGAGGAACGAATTTCGGTGTCGAAACTTTAGCGAATTACCGGAAATCGACGCCGCGTGTGCACCCGTCCGCCCGCGGCCATTTTGAAATCTCAGTGGCGCTCTGTTTGACCAGTCCTGTGTGTTTCTGCATGTTCCGGTTGTGCACGCATCGCTGGCATGACGCATCGATTACCGAACAATTGCATGCGACCGCAAACGAAACCGAATATCGAACCCGAACCGAACCGAACGAGACCCGTTCAGAACCGGAAGTTCGACGAGTCGGGACGGCTGGACACGTGCAGCATGGCCAGGCCGAGGGTGGTCACACGGAAGACGGTAAGAAGAAGAGCACCGCCGGCACCGGTAAGGTCGCAGGGAACGGGAAAATTAAGGGCACGAAGGACGAGGACGTGTGCCCGAAGCATAAACGGTGTTGCTTGTCCTGAGAGACGCGACCTCGAACTCCGATCGATAGATCTCCGCTGCGATATCACTTTTTCTCTTGTCCAAGTAGCTTCGACGCATTTCCGTCGAAACAATGCACTTTCTCGCATGCACACATTCCAGAATCGTAGGAATCTAAGCCAACTATTTATTATTTCGAGGAAAACTTTCGGATCCGCGTTGCGCGATACGAAGTATTTGGTCCTCGAAAACTGGGCGAACGTCGATCGAAAAGATCTTTTGGAAGGGTTGTCCGAGATACTGTTTCTCTCTTGATTAGTTTCCTGATTAATTATTGTTAATTAATTATTAATTACGTCGCCGAGAAATCGTGTCAGCTTCGTTCTTTACAGAGGTCTTTTAGCGATATTAATTTCTCAACCCTTTACACTCGAAACCGTTTTAACTGTAAATTGAAAATAATTTGCCTGACTCGCAGTATTTCCATTGTATACTGCATTTTATACGGCATTTTATGCATACGAAATCGAGTCTCGTGATTCATACAACAGTTACGCTTTTAATAATGTTCAAAATCTAAACTTCGACGATATCAAAATGCTCTTAGAACGTGACATAACAATTTTAGTGCCTCGGAGTCACCACTCGAGTGCAAAGGGTTAATATACAATTTATATCGAATTTCATTGCATCAATTAATAAATCAGCCCGGTTTTCAGCACGATTGCGAGACCAATGGCGACAGTGACACGGCAGACGACTCGGAAACGGATGATTTCGATCGATTATTAATCTCTTAAATCCATAGCTTCGACAGAAAATTCTAAAAGAACATTCGCTAATTAATTCGTACATTTCGGCCAAACGATTTAGAGCAAACTACTGCACGTCGCGCGACGTCGAGACCGAACCGTTCGTTCAGCACCAATCCGCAACAGAGAATTGATCTAGATTTAGAGGATTTCGAGGTCGTTGAAGCGCCACGAAGAGGCCCGTCCGCGCATCTCTCTCTTTCAGGGACGGTCGGCGCACGCCTGCTCAGAGGGTGTCCCGTTTGTTTTGGACACCCGGTATTTTTGGTGCACCTGGTATTTTTCTTTGTCTCTTGGTAGACGGTGCGTCGCCGCGACCGCCTCGCCGAACGATCTTCCGCCATCATTCTTCTCGGATCGGCAGCCTCTTTCGAGAGGCTTCTCGATCGTCTTTCGATCGTCTTTCGATCTCTTGGATCGCGATCGAAGCTCGGCGACACTCGTTCCGCGAGACGGCTCGCGGCGCGGCTCCCCGCAGCAGAGGTAGTCACGGTTTTAATTTCGGCGGACGGTGAACCGTAAGTAGTAAGTATCGATCACGTGCCAGACAATGAATCCAGGAACACAGGAAAACACAGGCGCCGGGTCTTCCGTGGCGGTTCCAGGACTCTCTCGCCAACTCGCACGAAACCTACCGCGCACCGTTTCTCTCCGCGGACGATTTTCCCGCGTCCGTTTCACGCTTTCTTTTCTTTTCGTTTCTTTTCTCTCTCGGTGTTAGAGACACGTGGGCGCCACAGACGCGTGCGTGGGCCGCACGCACAAACGATTTCGTCGCGCGGAACGCGCACACCTTGCCGTTTCTCCCGCATTTCCGTATGCCGCAGAGATCCGCCGCGCTCGTCGACCGTCGCGCGCGCCGTCACCGTTTCCTCGAGCCGCGGTAAATCTTTCGATCGCGTTCTCGTAGAAGCGACGACAACGATTCGGCGACGGGGTAGTAGTAGCTTCTCCAATTTAACCGGAAACGGAGCCAGCGAGACGGTCGACGAGCCCGCGTGCGCCGCGTAGGATGATCGAATTAGGCGCTGGTCCACGCAGAACGCTACAGATCCACGTGTATAACAACCCATTGTTGTGTAGGCGCAAACTGTGAACGTATTTACCAATAAAACTTGTGAAATCCAATACCGTTGTGTTGTGTGAACCACAGAGGGGCGTCGAAAGAATTCTCCGGACAGGCTTCGTAGCTAAACGAGATCGGAGATCAGAGATCGGATCGCTAAATCTCAGATCAGAGAGATCGGATCACTAAATCCGAGCGCCTTTCCGAGCCGCGAGATGCTCTCGAAATCGTCGCGACGCGCGATTCCGCCTAGCCGATTCGCGATCGGATCCGGTACGCCTCGCACGCGCCATCTTGGAACGATCTCTCGTGGCAGCTGCGGACCGACTTGGAAGAAGAGCAAGGATAATTAACGAGAAAACGATGAGGACGAGATGGAACCGGAGGAGACGGTCGATCCTCTTGCGATATACTCGCGGGGATTAAGCTCCGCGCGGCGCTTCCGCTCGCGACAGTTTTCCCTCGTTAACGCGTGTCCTTTCGGTTCATCCCCTCGCCCCCCCCCCTGAGTCGTCGCATATCCAATAGAGCACTCCCGTTTATCTTCGTCGTTAGAACCGATTCCGTTTAGAGCCAATAGGAAAGAGTGCCTGCTACTGTCGATTGCGTCGCGGCTGTGTTCCCCGGAATCGCGCCGGCGAGGGAAAACTCGAGCGGAATTTTCGAAATTGCAATCCTTCGAGCGACAATCTCGCCCCCCGGGGAGGGAGAGCGCCGCTTCGATTTCTCGGAGAGGATAACGGTGAAATAACAATAATATCGGGCTTAATAACATTGGTTAATAATAATAATATTGATTTCCGAACCGCGGATCTTAATCCCACGCTACAGAGACAGCTTCAGTCACGCAGAATGATCCTCCCGGCTTCGCAGAAACGTTCATTGAATATCGAGAACGGTATCTATACATATATATGTGTATGTATTTATATATATGTATATATATTATATATATTGCTTGTAGAAATAAGAATCGTGTGTCCTATCAAGACCTGCAGCCAGCTCTCGACCAACTCCCAGTGCTCAGGTAACGAAAAAATAACCAAACACCTCAGAAAAAAATCGTCTGAACAACCGGAGACTCTACTCCGAGCCGAGAAAACGACGGATCACCGCGATCCGGATGAACTCTTCCTCGTGAATCAGCTCGGTGAATCTCCGCGATCCCGTTCGCGAGTCGACGAGAAAAAAAAGAAAAAGAAATAAAAGATCGATAGGACTGCAAGAGCATTGCACGATGGTGGTGGTGGTCGCAGAAGTATTATAGTTTGCGAGAAAACGAACCCTCGCGCCTCGCGGATCTCTTTCTCATTTTATTTTGTCGTTCGCGCGACTCTCGAATTCCGCGGGTAGGAGCACGACCTTCCTTTCATTTTTTTATCGTTCTTCTTCTCGACCGTGAATCGATCCGACGAACGGCGGAGCTTTTGCGTTTAATTAGGCTAATCGACGGATCCGGAGAACGTTTCACAGCTGCGTCGCGACGAATCTTTTGGGGGAAGAAAATAGCGGGCGAAGCGTCGGAGTCGTTTCGGCCGTTCTTCGACGAGAGCCCTGAAGAAGGAGCGACACGAAACGTCTTTTGGTGGCACTCGGACGGCCATTTTGTTGTCCGGCCAGAGGGAACCTCGAGTTCCTCAGGCTCGTCGATGCCTGGCCCGCAGTCCGAATTAATCGGACGACCGGAAAAATCGGCGAGATCGAGGCCGAGAAAAGCCGACGGACTCGCGGCGAGCATCGGCGAGCGTATTCGGTTCTCGCGATCGCTTCCGATCGCTTCCGGTTCGCCGGAACTGCGTCGGCGGCCATTTTGCACTCGCCCCGATCCCGGATGTGCCCCCCTGGGTCTCTCCCACTCTCTGCCGGGGATCGGCGCAGGTCCGGCGAACCCGGAAGGAGAAACCATTGCGTGGGAAAAAGAATCTTGGAACGATCGCGGCGAGGTCTCTCGCCGAGAAGCGTCTCGGTTCATGAACGAGCCGCGATCGTTCGAGGATCCAGGCATTGGAGTCTGCGCTTGTTCGCCGAGAATATGTATTTTGATTAGACGTTCTCCCGAGTTTTTCATCCTCGAAGAAGCTAAAGAAGCTTTCGAAAATTTTCTTTTCGAGACTCCAATGGCCAGGTTTTTGTTTCTTTTTTTGGGTATAATCTTTGGCGTAGGACGTAGAAGTTGATAAAGATTCGTGTATGTAACTGTTGTGCCGTACTCTACGATGTGTCGGCATGAGCCCGGATCAAATCTGTTCGTCGATCGGGCCCGCCGATCCCCCGTGTACCGACTGATCGATAATCTGTTGACGATTGCAGCACGCCGTCAGGAGATCATCAAGATGACCGAGCAGCTGATCGAGAGCATCAACACCGGCGACTTCGAGGCGTACACGTAAGTCCCGTATAACTAAATCGACGCCGAACCTGCTGCACTCGATTTAGAGATTCTCTCTCTCTCTCTCTCTCTCTCTCTCTGTGCTTTCAACAATTTTTTAATAAAATAAATTAGTTATATGCCAGTCGTATCGAGACCGGCACAGCAGCGGGTTCGGCGTTACAAAGGTCGTCGATTTAATCGAACCGTCGGATCCTAGCTTCCGTAGGAGCTAGAAAGCACTTTCTTTCTCTTCGAGAGATGCGAAGAAGCCCTTCTAACCGTTGTAAATCGCTTTCAGGAAAATCTGTGATCCACACCTGACCGCGTTCGAGCCGGAGGCTCTAGGTAATTTAGTCGAGGGAATGGATTTCCACAAATTTTACTTTGATAATGGTAATTATGACTCGTTTGCATTCACCGCTATCTCGTCGACACCGCGTCGGCAAGCCGCTGTGCACCGTTTCTCTGCGTGAAAAAAAAAAGAAAAAGGATCCCCTTTCGTTTCTCGTTCTCCCTTCGTGTTTCCGCAGCCGCCATCTTGTCGCGCGGTCGTTGAAGTCTCCGGGCCGATCGGCGCGCGCCCGCTGCGGACTCGCACTCAGCTTCTTATTGCACCTTTTGCCTTCGTTTCTTTCACTCTGTACAAAGCGTGCATCCCCTCTCCCACCCCCTCCGAGAGATCTGGACCCGAGAACATTGTGTACAGTTACCTGCACGATCTGCTCGCAAAAGTCTTTTACATCCGACCGATCTTTCCTACGGAGTACAGTAATGTCTCCCTAACTGACGCTCAGATTGTGCAGAAAAATGGCCTTCGGCCTTCTAGCTCGTTTTTTATAGTTGTTGGCACTTCGTAACTATAAAAACGAATCGCAAGGCTCGAACAATCGTATCCCCTCTTCCCAAATTGTCCAGTTTTGTGGACAATCTTAGCGTCAGTTAGGGAGACATTACTGTAATCTGAGCGTCAATTAGGGAGACGTTACTGTATAGTATTATACAAAACGGTCGCGCATGGTACATCTTGCTCGTTCAGTAAAAACGAAACAGCATCTTCTCGCTGTCTTCTTAGTTAGTCGAAATCCGAGAGCCTGCTCCACGTTATCTTTCTTTCGCTACCCGTTTACTTCTCTCCGAGTTTTCAAGCTGTAAATTTTCCGGTTCTCTATGTCGGTGCACCGGTGCAACGGCAGACCCTCGAATAACGAGTACTTCCTGTTTCAAATCACCAAGCAGTCCTGGGGAAGAACTGCAAGGCCGTGAACACGACGATCCTGAATCCCCACGTGCACCTGCTGGGCGAGGACGCCGCGTGCATCGCGTACGTCAGGCTGACGCAATACATGGACAAGTAAGAGCGGCGACGATTCTCGAGGATCATTCAAAACTATCTTGTTTTTATATTATTTATATTTATATATATTTATTATTTATTATTTATATATATTCACGGTGCAACCGTTAGTGAAACGTCTCGACGTCTTTCAGACAAGGTGTCGCACACACTCAACAGAGCGAGGAGAGCCGCGTGTGGCACAAGAGGGACAACAAATGGCAGAACGTGCATTTCCATCGGAGCGCGGTGACGGGACCGTCGCCGTTCTCCTTCAGCCACAAGTAAATCGGCGAGCAGCCGCGCGGGGGAGGAAGAGTAGAAGCGGATGTTGAGGTCGGAGAGGATGGAAGCAGAAGCAGAGGAAGAGAAGAGTTAGCGCATGAAAAAGGAAACGAGGGAAGGAAGAGGAAGAAGAGAAGAAGAAGAAGAGCCGACGTGTCGGTGGACGCTCGTCGCCTCGACGCGTGGACCGAACGAGCCGTGCGAGAACCTGAAAAGCCACAACACGATTCTACACGAGGAACTCTCTTTCTCACACACGAACATACCGCAGAAACAGATACACGCGAGAAACGCAGTAGACGCGCGACGAACGAACCTCGTACCGGTTTCTCCGTAGATCGATAAATATATATACAGTGAACGCGCGGGTTTGCGCGTAGATTTATTGGATTCGTCGATCGACAAGACTCCTACGCACGCTTCGGCGTCGAAGGGAAATTGCCGAAACGATCGTTCGACGCCGGAAATCCTCCGCGAACATTCGACAAGCTTAGAAGCCAATCTCTCGCCGTCGATCGCAGAAACCGTGGCTGTAATTATCGCGTCGAGAAGAGACACGCTGGTTAGAAGGATCCTGGATGATCAAAGAACTCGAGAGAGAGAGAGAGAAAGATAACGGCTGCGTCGATAACACGAGGAAGGGGTAAAGGACAGCCATGGAACAGAGATACAAGAGCAGAGAAAAGGTGCGATCGATCGACAGAGAAAACAGGGCCATAAACGACAAGCCATACCAAAAAAAGGGATTAGAAACGGTCGCTGCGGTCGGATAATAAGAAACAAGCTCGGGGAGCAAGAGTGGTGGCATGTCGTAGGGGTGAGGACCGGCAAACCGAGCGGGAAGGTGTTCCAGTCGAGTCGGTGCTGGGTACCGACGCGGAAGTAGGACCGGGATAGTCCGTGGCAGAGGTTCGCGATCGACGAGATTGCGCCGGCATGTCGGCATCCACGTATAATTTAGTTCGTACGATAGTCGCTGTACAGAACAATCTTCCATGTAACACTTTTCTTCGAATTTTCGTTCTCGTCTCTCGTTACGACGGTACCAAGTTATTCATGTATTATCGAGCACGCGCGACATACACACACGTACACACACGTACACACATACAGACGCAGAGACACATAGGTACACGCGTCTAGCGATTCGAAGATCGTTAGTGCATTGTCGCGGGCATTGTTGGTGAATTGTGCGCGGACGGTGGAGTTCTGTTGGAGTTCGTCGTCGACAGCTGCTGTGTGCAGACTTCTTCGCGGTATATAATTTATTGGAAGTCTCCGGATCTTTGAAAACCTTGGTCGTGCTTGGAATCGATTTAATCGTGCATGATATTACTAAATTTCTATTGTCTAGATCAAGTTAGTCGGATATATCGCGTTTTTCAGTCGTATAAAAATTGCTTGATTCAATTAGAACATACAGATTCGACGCTTAAAATTGAGGCAAAGCAGTATTCTATTAAATTCGTTGAATCATTTTTACAATCTGCTTGCAAGGTAGAGCGAAGAACCTCAACGCGATGTCACTGCATTAAAAGCGTAATTCAAATCCTATTTAAGCAACCTTGTCGATCGGTAGCCATTTTAGCATTGATCACAAGGTTCGCCAAAGCCCCGCACGATCTCCTAGCCGCGAAAGGGTTGAAAGTAGAGGTCGAGATTTCCGCATACAAAGACACGATCCACAGACAAACACATATACACACCATACACACACACATACACACACACACACAAAGATAGAAAACGCGCGATCGTCCGAGAGATGGAAGAGCGATCTTTAAACGTTGTTACCTCATTGTGAGACGGTCTCGCGGCTGCAGTGACGCGCGGCAGAAGCCATAAAGCTAAAGAAACGTAGAACGCAGTCGACAGGCAGACGCATAAAAAGAGAGAGAGAAACCCGAGGTTGATAATTAGAAGGTAGAGGTGTTCGCGAAGCAACGAACAGATAGAACGAAGAAGAAGCGAGACGTCGAGGAGGGGAAAGAAAAGATGTCTAAAGGGAAAATACAAGAGAGAGAGAGAGAGGAGAGAGGAGAGAATAGAGAGCGTGGTTCTAAATACTAATGCCTGTCTTCGGAGGAAGATATCAACGATCCACGAAGAATCGTGGAACAAAGTCGTGACTTCCCCCCATTCGCGTTGACACTCGACGTTGACGCGCGTACGCCGCGCGCGTATACATGTATAGATACATCTATATATATATACACACACATCGATCCGCTTCCGGTCGTTGGTCAGGACCGACGAGGGACGAAACTCGCGAGAAAGAGAGAAAAATCGTCGAATCTCTCGGCCTTTGGACCGGCGGAATCCGGCTGGTGATCGAACAGTTTTTTTGTCGAATTTACCTTCATTAAACACGAGAATAATGAATCTTTCTACACGTTCGTACATCCTCTATTACTAAATAATATTGACTTACCGGGAGTTACACGTTTGCGATTTGAACGGAGACCGCGCACGGCACGGGCTAATGTTTCTCGGTCGTAGGATGCAAAAGGGAGGCACGATTCGGAAAAAGCACCGGAAAGAAGTCTCCGTATAAAGAAGTCTCCGTAAACGAGACCAGTCGAAGGAACATTTTTGCCATCTTGTTATATAAATATTTATATTTATATATATATATATATACACCACACGAAGAAAATATATATATATAGATATACGTATACGTTATGAACAATGTATAAGAAGGGTGCGCGCGCGTCTGCGGCCGCGACGAAAGGGTGCACGCGCGTGTCTCGCGCGTTCTGTCACGCTGGTGCATTCTAGTCCACATTTCGGGTCGGATCCCGGTCCCCGGTTCCCCAGGGATCCCTCTTTGTTCCTGCTTCCGGCACAGAGCAGTCGCTCAATTGCAGCGGAATATACACTGAATTTTAGAAATTAACAAAACCGTGTAATGTGCTCGATAATTGGAGAACATTTAAGTATCGCCGGGCACGAAAATATTGAAAAATTGGAGAGAAACTCGAAGAGAGAACCGAGGATCGGAAACAGGATGAAGGGAGACAGGGAATCGGGGTTGAGAAGATTTCCGGTTTTTCGTAGGCGTGAACGAGGCTCTCCGCTTCCAGGAACGCGCGTTGCACGTACGCGCGCGCGCGCTCGCTCGCTAGTGCATCGCGACCTACCGCGTATGTATATTGATACGGATACAGAGAGAAAAAGAGACAGAGAGAGCGAGAGAGAGAGTGCAAACGTGAGCAAGAATGAGTGAGTGAGTGACGGAGAGACTGAGAGAGAGAAAGAGAGAGAGAGAGAAAGGGGGAGAGCGAAGGAGCGAGAAAAGGGAAAAGAAAGAAAACGATTTAATATATTGCAGATACTATATTATAAATATAAATATAAACATAAAGAATTAAAGATTAAGGGAAAAAACAGTTATTTCTACTACTCTAATTCGTCGCTTCTACGTGTGATTGTTGTATAAAAAACAAAAAAAACGATTACTGATTTATTATCATTGTTATTACACGATTATCATTACACGTTACGACTACTACTATTACTATATTATTATTATTAATTATTATAAAACGAGAAAATACAAACGGAGAAAAGAGGAGAGAACGAAGGGAGAGAAACGAAGACGAGAGAACCCGAAGTGATAGCAGAGTACGCCGTAGATCAAATATGTCGGGTTTGTTGAGAGTGCGTAAAGCACGGGAAAGTGTTCACACCGCGAGAGCGAATTGTTTCGAAGCGGAAAAAAACGGGAGATGTACGCGCGGATTTGTTGCCGAGACAAAAACGAGAAAGTAAGGCGTAGAGAGAGAGAGAGAGAGAGAGAGAGAGAGAGAGAGAAAGCGTGAGAATGTGCGAGAGTGTGAGAGAGAATGCGGAAGAGAAAGAAGGAGATAGGGAAGAGGCGCTAGAAAAAAATTGTAATCGCGCGTTGTGTAAGGGCTACACGAAAATTGTACGACCTTTCTTTTTCCTACGATAGAAGAAAAAAAAGAGTATTCTTAATCGAGCGTGCGAACGTATGCGACAAAGGAAGAACAACGGACAACCAAGGTGACCGATGATCCATGTCAACGCAGGGAAAAGGACGACAAAAGGAAAATACTACGACGATAGAACGCGATGAACGGTCGTCGATTGCACACGCGTTCCTGAGCACGCTCGTGCTCGTGCGTCGTGCTCGTGCGTCGTGCTCGTGCGTGCACGCAGGAAACGGTGTACCATTTTAGAATACCCTAATAATCGATTATCGCGAGATTAAACCAGGAGTGACAGACGGTTAGGGGGATTCTCGCGGAAGCACTCGTTCGCTCGCGTTATTATTATACGTACGTGTTGTTTCTTATCGAATGAAAGGCGCAGGTCGACCGGAACCGAGAGAATGCTCGTCGGAAAGAGAGAAAAAGATGTAGAGAGAGAGAGAGAGAGAGAGAGAGAGAGAGAGAGAGAGTGAGAGAGAGAGCAACAGAGAAAGAGGGAATTCGAAATGATTTTTATACGCGGAGGGAACGTGTCTCACTAGTCCGCATCTGATGTTGCTGAAAGTCGTTGTATTACTAATAGATTACGGGAGAAACCCCGTTCTCCAGTTGTGTCTCTTCGAGCATAATCGTAAGCTTACGCGTACCGTTATTGTATAGTAGCGTTAATTGTTCTACAGTCTCCGAGGTTTTCTCACATTCCGTACAAGTCTACCGGGATTTACTATAGTTGTCGGCTCGGCTCGGCTCGTCGGTTCGGCGAACAAGGCCGACCCTCCCCGTCCCCAGAGATCGTTAATCATCCGTTTTACAATTGCCGTTTTACAATTGGAGGCTGTGTTCCATCGTGTTCAGTCGGGACCAGCCGAAATATATTCCTGTTCTCCGTCTCCGCGGTTCACGAACCGTCGATCCGAGGCGATTCGATAGAAAGCAAGATTTTAGCACGAACACCGACCGTGGTGCAGTTCCGACGATGCACCGAACGCAGTTTCCGTTTGCACCAGATCACGAGATCGCGTTCCCACCGGCTACTTTCAGCAAGATCTCTGCTCCAGTACGAAGTCGCGAAACCCGCGAGCTGGATACATACGCGATCTGTGTAGGGCTTCGAGAGGAAATGAGAGAGAAAGGAAGAGAGAAAGAGAGAGAGAGAGAGAAAACAATGGAAAAGAAACCAAAAAAAAATACGGGGTAGGAGAAGTAACGAAGTATTTTTATCGTTCGCTTTTATTCTTCGATATACTCGATCGTTCCCAGTGGTTCTCAAGCTATTGTTAGATAGAAGAAAAACGAGATCATACTAATTTCTACGAGCTATTATCGTTCGACATACAATTCTTTGGGTGCCGCGCGCGAGTTTCTATACTTTCCCCGCTGACGGTCCGCGACTCTCTTCTTCACTTTAAAAAAAAAAACACTTCTTCGAACGCGTCTCGTCGTAATTGTATATAAGCGCGAGGATCGAGACGATCTATAGAGCTCGTTTCGATCGTCGCGTTGCGAGTAGCGAGTCATACAATCAGCGGAACGAAACCCGGAGGAGGTCGGAGGCGCGCACGCTGCTACAACTCGCCCGAGATCCCTGTTCAAGGTTGTAAATCGTCAGCCTCTCTCGCTTCCAACTTTTCGTGCTCGAAGCAAATCTTCCGGAGAAATTTATCCGTCGCCGCTTAGCATTCTTCTCCCCCTGTTTTCCCAGCGATCTCCGTCGACCTACCATCCGTCGTCGCTTCGATCTCTCCGTGAGCCGACAAAATGGCCGCTCCCTCGATCGCGAAGAGGAAGCGTGCGTGCGCGCCGCCGCCGCTTCGCATACCGAATTACCGAGTTCAATCGACAGCCTAGAGACTAAATAGCGAGTACCGTTTAACAAAGAGAAAAAAACTACCTAGCGCGAATCGTTCAGGGTGAAACAAGAGAATCGTCTTCTTTCGCGGACGTTGCTCGTCGCGCTCGAATTACTCGCTGACTTTACAAAACCACGTGTATACAGAGAGATCTTATACTATGTATATCGTGTAGGTATTATACGTACATATGTAATACCGTCGACGAGCTGGCGTACGCACGGTTTATCGATTATCGAGCCCCGGAGAGACGATCATGCTCGTCTCTCTCTCGGTGTCGCGATCCAGATAATTTAGCAGAGTCTCGATATCGAAAAAAAGCGGCTTCCTTCGCGAGGATCGGCGACACCGCGACCCCCGCGTACAAGAATAATCAAGTTCCTCCGCCGAGAGTTTCCTGGAGCCGCGGCGCGGCGATCGTGATCTGGAGCCGCGTACACGAAGTTTCGATCGCTCGGAGATCCTCGAGAGTACCGATCTGCGAGATAAATACACCGAGACTTCGACAACCTAATTAAACAGTTCTAATCGGCGTCGCCGTCCGAGGAATGATCGCGCCCCGGTTTCCGAACCAACGTCGAACCGCGTCGATCCGCGACACACGCGTAGAGGATTCTGTGGACATTTCTTTCTTCCATTTAGCGTTTCGTTAGCTTAAGGACTAAACCTAAGATATCTTCGTTAAACGTAATTCAAGCTTTCGCCCTTCATCCGACTGATCGGACCGCGTTCGGCCCGCGACCATTCCTCGACGGTCCTTTCGTTGATCCGTCGGAGAACCTAGAGAGTAGAGGCGAGCTGAATTCTCGTGTGATTTTTTGTTCGTCTCGCGTAGATTCACTGGCACCCCTTGCACTGTACCAACGAGTCGGATCCGCGACGTCGAGTGGATACGCGACGATTCGAAAATATTGTAATCGCTTCTTCCGACTTGTGCTGAAATTATCGAAGGTAGAACGAGAAGTCATCGTCGTCTCATCCAATTACTCTTCTCTTCCAATTACTGAAACGATTTATTTTCACAAAGATCTCCGGTCTGTCTTCTGAATCCGAACAAAATTGTCTCGAAAAAATCCGAATTTGTCTCGGTAAGATTTCTCTCTCGAATGCAGAGTTTTCTGAACAATGTTTCGAACAACGCGATGCATAAAAATTGCAGACGGAAAAGAGCGAACGTCTTTGAACGAGTGTATGCGAGAAAGAAAGCAGTCGCGACCGATTAGGAACATTATTGGTAGCGCAAGGGGTGAACTCGGAGGCTTAACCATTCTGTAATTGTTTCGGAGCTTTTGTTCCGTGAAGCAACATCGAGAGGACAGTGGATCGAATTTCCAGCGAACTTCCGATTGTCCTTTGATCAGGGAGATGATCGTTCCCCGATCGGTACTCTCGATCCCGCCCTCTTTTAGCTTGGAGAATCAGAGACCAGAGAAAGAGAGAGAGAGAGAGAGAGAGAGAGAGAGAGGTCCTCTTTCGACTTCTAAAAACCGACCGCGGAGAAACGAGGGAGAGGGTGAGAGAGAGAGAGAGAGAGAGAGAGAGAGAGAAGAAAAGCTAAACCTTCGTGTAAAAGCTAAACCCCTC